TGCCCTCCCCCACCCCCCGCCCCTGCCCGTCCTCCTGCCTGGCCCCGCGCCCTGCCTGCCCCTGCCCTCGCTCCTGCCTCCTCCGCGTTGCCCTGCACCCTGCCTGCCCCTGCCTGCCCCTGCTCCGCTGCCCCCGGCCCTGGCCCTGCCTCCGTCCCTGCCTGCATCCCCTGCCCCTGACTTCATCACTGCCTTCATCACTGCCCGCATCCCGTCCCTGCCTTCATCCCTGCCTGCATCCCTGCCCGCATCCCCTGTCCCTGCCTCCATCCCTGCCTGCATCCCCTGCCCCTGCCTTTGTCCCTGCCTTCGTCCCTGCCCGCATCCCTGCCCGCATCCCCTGTCCCTGCCTTCGTCCCTGCCCGCATCCCCTGTCCCTGCCTCTGCCCCCGTCCCTGCCTGCAGACCCTGCCCTTGTCCCTGCCTCCATCCCTGTCCCCATCCCCGTCCCTGCCCGCAGCCCCCGACCCCGTCCTCGCCTCCGTCCCTGCCCGCAGCACCTTGTCCCCAGCCCTGCCCCTCTCCCTGCCTGCAGCCCCTGCCCCTCTCCCTGCCTGCAGCCCCTGCCCGCAGCACCTTGTCCCTGTCCTTGCCTCCATCCCTGTCCCTGCCTCCGTCCCCGTCCCCGTCCCTGCCCACAGCCCCCCGGCCCTCTCCCTGCCTGCATCCCTGTCCCTGTCCCTGTCCCTGTCCCCATCCCTGCCTGCAGCCCCGTCCCTTCCCACAGCCCCCAGCCCTGCCTGCAGCGACCTGACCCTGTCCTTGCTCCACTCCTGCCTGCATCCCTGCCTGCATCCCTGTCCCTGTCCCTGTCCCCGTCCCCATCCCTGCCTGCAGCCCCTGCCCCGTCCTTGCTCCATCCCTGTCCCTGTCCCCATCCCTGCCTCCATCCTTGTCCCTGCCCGCAGCTCCCTGTCCCCATCCCGATCCCTGCCTGCAGCCCCGTCCCTTCCCGCAGCCCCCAGCCCTGCCCCTGCCCCCATCCCTGCCTGCAGCGACCTGACCCCGTCCTTGCTCCACTCCTGCCTGCATCCCTGTCCCCGTCCCCGTCCCTGCCCGCAGCTCCCTGTCCCCATCCCGATCCCTGCCCGCAGCCCCCTGCCCCTCTCCCTGCCTGCATCCCTGTCCCCGTCCCCGTCCCTGCCCGCAGCTCCCTGTCCCCATCCCGGTCCCCATCCCCGTCCCTGCCTCCAGCCCCGTCCCTGCCTGCAGCCCCCAGCCCTGCCCGCAGCTCCCGGTCCCCATCCCTGCCTGCAGCGACCTGACCCCGTCCTTGCTCCACTCCTGCCTGCATCCCTGCCTCCATCCCTCTGCCGGTCCCCATCCCCGTCCCTGCCCGCAGCCCCCGTCCCTGCCTCCATCCCTGTCCTTGCCTGCAGTGACCTGACCCCGTCCCTGCCTCCATCCCCGTCCCGCTCCCTGCCTGCGGCCCCTCTCCCTGCCTCCGTCCCCCTCCCTGCCCGCAGCCCTGTCCCCATCCCCGTCCCCGTCCCTGCCTGCAGCTCCCTGACCCCGTCCTTGCCTCCATCCCTGTCCCTGCCCGCATCCCTGTCCCTGTCCCCATCTCCATCCCTGCCCGCATCCCTGCCTCCATCCCTGTCCCCAGCCCGGTCCCTGTCCCTCTCCCTGCCTCCATCCCTGTCCCTGCCCGCATCCCTGTCCCCATCCCCATCCCTCTCCCTGCCTGCATCCCTGCCTGCATCCCCATCCCTGTCCCCATCCCCGTCCCTGCCTGCATCCCTGTCCCTGTCCTTGCCTCCATCCCTGTCCCCGTCCCCATCCCTGCCTGCATCCCTGCCCCCGTCCCCATCCCTCTCCCTGCCTGCATCCCTGCCTGCATCCCCATCCCTGCCCGCATCCCTGTCCCTGTCCTTGCCTCCGTCCCTGCTCCCGTCCCTGCCTCCATCCCTGTCCCCAGCCCGGTCCCTGTCCCTCTCCCTGCCTCCATCCCTGTCCCTGACC